CTTCCTTCTTCATTTGAGACTGAGCATTCTTTAATATTTCTTTTCTGAATTCAGATTATCTCTATCTTCTTTCAGTTGTGTTTTCTTTAAATTCACTGAATTCTTTTATAATGTTTATAATTATTCTTTTGAGTTCCATGCTGTTATTTTTAGGTGGTTCTCACTGTAGTCCTCTAGAGGACTATTGGCACTTGGTGGAGATATATTATTTTGGTTTTTCACGTTATTTTTTTTCTCTGTGACTTTGACATGTGAATTTCTTTTGTAGTTTCTGATTCTTGTGTGAGACTCAAGCCTTCCTTTGTTGAGTTTAGGTCTGCTTCCTGCTTCTTTTTGTAAACTTTATGTGCCTTCGTGGGTTACTTGTTGGGCATGAAAACCTGGTTGGTTTACGCTTCAGGTTCTCTCTTGATTTTATGCTGGAGTGACCAAATTGTTTTCGTCTTCAGGAGTTCCCACAGAGGCCCAAGTCAAATGAGGATCAGATGCTCTCAGGCTTTCTCCTAAGGTCAGGATCCCTCCAGGAAAGATGCTGCCCTGAGGAATTTGAGGGCTGGACTCCCCTGGGAGCAGGGCCCAGGAAAGATGCTGGTCTCAGGAAGCTGGTGGCTGTGCCATCCAGGAATGCAAAGGAAGGTGTAGCCAGGAAGAGGCCCTGAGGGCTCCTGGGGACTAGTGGGAGGAACTGGGTTGTTCTGGATGCAAAGGATCAGAAAGCAGTAGGGACTCTGGGCCACGAGGTCAGTCCAGGGGTCTGGGGTGCCAAGACAAGAAATGGGCCAGTACCCAATCCAAGAGACACAAGGCAGGGGAGCTGGGAGGGTGAATGAGGCTGGAGGAGTCAAGGCTCAGTGGGCCCAAGGGACCCACCCAGGAAAAATGCTAGCACCCGGAAGCTGGTGGCTAAGCCACCCAGGGAAGCAAAGGTAGATAGGTGGTGGCAGGACCAGGCACAGAGGGCTCCTGGGTACCACAGGGAGGAACTGGGTTGGTCTGGATGCAAAGGATCAGGAAGCAGTGGGGACTCTGGGCTGAGAGCTCAGCCCCAGTGTCTTGGGGGCCAAGACAAGAAATGGGCCATACCCAGGCCAGGAGGAGAGATGGGGTGGGGGAGCTGGGAGGGTGAATTAGGCTGGGGGAGTCAAGGCGTGGTGGTAACCACTAGACTTACCCAGGAAGGATGCTGGCACCAGGAAGCTGGGGGCTGTACAGCTCAGGGGAAGAAAAGGGAGGTGGGGGCTGTGTTTATTTTTACACTCATGGCAAATAATGTTTTCCATTTTAGTAGCCATGTAATTTTTTTATTATTTATTTTTTATATATAAGTAAGTAGTTGCACCTGTGTCAAGCAATACCTGCAGAGGTCAGAAGAGGGCAACGGCTCCCTTGGAACTGGTGTTATGGACAGTGCTGGGAATTGAACCCTGGTTCTCTTCAAGAGCAGCCAGTGCTCTTAACCACTGAGCCACCTCTCCCATCCCCCATGTAAATTTTAATTAAAAAAAAATTTTATTTTGAGTTTTTAAAAAAGTGAACTTATCTAAAGAAAAATATTTATGAATACCAGTTTAGTGATGTCTTAGTTTCTTTTCCTATTGCTGTGATAAAATACACTGGCAAAAGCAACTTATAAGGGTTTACTTCAACTCACAGTCCAAGGTAACAGTGAATCACCACAGGGGAAGTCAGAGAGGCAGGAGTTGAGGTAACTGGTTATACTGCATCCACAGTAAAAAAGCAGAGAGCAAGAGATGAATGCTGGCGTGCTCAGCTCAAATCTTTCACTTAGTGCAGGTCCCTGCCACAATTAAGATGGGTCTTCCCACAGTTAGCTTAATGTATACCTCCCCTACAGGCATACCTACAGGCTTATCTCCCAAGTGATTCTAGACTGACAGCACTAACCAGCCCAAGTGGTATGAAAATGTGACCAAACAATGTCAAAATGAGGAGGCTGTAAGAAACGTGGACTTTGAAGGCACAGGTGAGGAAACAACGTGAAAACTCACACAGCACAATTGAAGATGTTGGGGTCTAGAGGTAAACACTCATGTACAAGTTTCCTAAATATCATGATCCATCTACCTTTCAAAATGTCCTATGATCTTGCAAGCAAGTCAGTTTTCACTGTTGCCCTTGTTTTGTGAGATTTATCAGACATCTTTAATTAACAAGAATTAAGGAAATTATGTCCCATTCCAGAGATGTTTCTTACTGAATAGTATGACACTGAAGTGGTATTTTATACTAGTGGTACTGAGGTTAAATCAGGAGACGTTTATTTAACTTTTATATTATTTGGATATCTCAATGTACAGTAGCCAGCAAATTCAAGTATAAGTCATAACTGTGACAATAAAATGGCCATTTGCTGGTAGGATAGACACTAAAACATTTAACAGATGGAAGTTTTCCAACATTACATTTGAAAGTGTAATTATTAGAACCTCCTAAAAGGCTTCTGATGTGACTCTCCAAATGTACATCTAACTTACTGCTTTTAGCTGTTACAGTAATAATGTGGACTGTGTTCATTGTAACAGGCCTGTATTTCCATTCTACTGGGGCCCCACGAGATACCTCAATATTTTGTTCTATTTTTTCTGAGCCTGCCATTTGGGACTGTAAAATGTACTTAAAAAACAAAACAAAACACACTTTAAATATTCTCACATATTAAATGCAAGCCCAACACAATTTCAATTGTCTTTGTTTTTAAATTAGTGCTGGATTCACGACCCACACTTCTGGAAAATGCTTTGGTTGCCCTCCCTTCCCTTCTTGGGTAGGATAGGGAAACCAGTATTGGTGACTGAACTTAGGGCCTACACATACTAAACAAATGCTTAACACAAGACACAGTTATGCCCAACCCCCCTCACCAGTCTCTCTTAAAATTTTGAGACAGGGTCTCTAAGTTGTCAGGGAGGCCTGGAACTCACAAAAGTAAATTAAGCAGGCCTTGAACTTGCCACCCTCCTGCTTTAGTCTCCCAAGTGACTAGGATTACAGGTTTGTGCCACCAGGCCCAGTTTATTTCTTTATACTGCCCTGATCAAAAGGGAGTAACATGGGATCTGCTGAAATGCTACAGAAATTCATGAACCAAGGTCAACAGCACACTCATCTGGATGGGGCAGCCAGGGACAGAAACATTTTGCAGTCTTGGTTCTCAACATCTACTTCTAGACTTTTACTGCCTTAGGCACCTGATGCCATCTTTTACTTTCTCCCATTTTAACTCCTTATCCCATGAGAGACACCCATAGAGAGTGGGCTCCCCATAAAGAGTGGGTGTCTCTCACCATAGAGATACCCACTGAGAAGTGGGCTCTCCAGCCAGCTTCTGGGATTCAAACCCTGGCTCTACCACTTCTATATTTAAGCTACTGTTTACTACTTTGTCCCTAGGTTTGTAATTAGACAAGAGCTGAAGCTACCTCTTGTAGTTGTGGAAGGCTAAGAATTAAACTATTTGATGTGTTCTAACACCAAGACTAGTACCTAGGTAGTAGTAATTTCTCAGTATAATTTTTCAATCATATGATAGATGCTGTTTTAGGCATCTAGTCTCCCCAGTCATTCCACCATGTATTTATTGTATACTAGACATTGATCTCCATCAATGAACAAAATCATGAAGTTTCTGTGTCTGTGTGGCTTTTTCAAGTACAGGCAGAAATTAATAAATAATCCCTAAACTGTACTCGAAAATGGCCACAAATGTTGTACAATGAAAAACAGACATGGATAAGGGGAAAAGGGTATATGGGGGGTCTGACAAGGCCAAAGCTTGATATATGCTAAAATCTTTTCTAAAATCTTTTAATTTTTTCAGGAAATTAGATTTCCACTCGGTTACCTAGGTTTAGAAATTCAATCACCTCAGTTTCTTTTCTGTTTCCTCCATAACCCTCACTAAATTCCAGGTTTTTTTGCTAATGTCTGGGATCTATCCTGATTTGAGCACTTAGGCCCAGGCTGCCGTCAGTGTATCCTCTCTAGTCTCTCCTTACTTACTCTAACCCATCCTTCTATTATGAGGTATGTGCCTAAAAGAACTGAAAAGTTGAACAGATACCTGTACCCAATGTTCATAGCAGCATTACTCAGGACAGCCCAAAGTTGCTGGTGAGTGAACAAAGAAAATGTAGCACATTCATACACTGGACATTACTGAGCTCTGACAAGAAAGAACTGACATATACTACATGGATGAATCTTGAAGACATTATGAAACAAGATAAAGCAAAGGACAGATACTATGTGATTCAGAATACAGGAGATACCTAAAATTCATGGACAGAATGTAGAAAAATGTTTGGTAGGGGTTAGAGGGAGAAAGGAATGAGGAATCATGTCATCAAACTGCTCAATTTAGGTTACTAAATCATAAATTTCATGTTGTTTCTTTTACTATAATAAAAAAATGGTTAATGAGGCGGAAACTGAATCTTTTTTTTTTGGGGGGGGGCGGTGTCTTTTTAACACAGGGTCTCCCTGTAGCCCCAGCTGGCCTGGACTTTTTAGGTCAGACCAGGCTGACCTAAATCTATCTCACAGCCTCCTGAGTGGTACTGGGATTAAAGGTGAGAACACCACACCTGGATTGAATTCTTAATCTTAATTGAATATTTGAAAACTGACATTTGACTCAGTTACTAGAAAATCTTTACATATATTTGGAGGCAACATGCAAATAAATTTTATAATGACCTTCTATGTAAAGAATAATCTTATTTGAAGCACTGAAAATCAATAAACTTATTTCAATTGTCAACTTTGTTTTAAAGCCTGAGGCAATAGTAAAATAACTATCTTCTCTCAGTATCAGGGGGAAAAAAATTCCATTTTATATCTCAAGCTTAATTTAAGATGTAAACTATACAACCTATCTTTAAAATGTTCATACACGGTAAGCACTTTAATATTTATAGACTATCTACAGAAACACATCTGAATTCACAGAAGCATATATTACATCAAAAGTGACATGCCAGTAACAGCAACATGATTTTATTTTTGTCATTGACAACATGCATGATACTGTAATTGTACCACTAGTTTCTTAAATATTACTTTAGTATTAATTAAAAATATGTTTACATTTAAGAAATGTGACACAATAAAGCAGTCTTCTGTAAACATAACCCTTTCTCAACATATTTCCCTACTATGTTTCATCCATAAGTAACTGAATCTACAAAATCATAAATAAAACTACTAACTCTAAATGTACAAATTTTGAAGTTTGAGAGAAGTACTGCCTTTGATTTTATAAATATCATGCAATATGCGCACTGCTTACCACCGGTCAAATGCTTATTATGAGCGCTTACTGTCTCCCCGCTTGTTCTGCCAAAGACATTACTGGGTAAAGATGATGGCATTAAAAAAATCAAAATAGCCAAAAGTCAAGATTTCCTTTTGAGATAGGGTCTCACTGTGTTGCCTATATAGCCCAAGCTGGCCTTGAACTCATGATTCTTCTACCTCAGCTTCCTGAGTGGCAGGGATTACTGATCAACAGCTGAGATTGCTTTAAAAACAGCAGAGAAGGTGGCTATTTGAATATTATTACATCTTATAAAACATTTCAGCTTGTGTGAACAAATAATACTACAGAAGAGTGAATGCTTATACTGTTATTTAAATGGCATCAGACAAAGTTAAAATTTAAGAAACAATAAAATCAGATTAAATCCATATTAGCCTTACAAAAAGAAAATTTTACTGAGATTCTGTAATAAAAACTGAACCAATGAGCTATGGAAAATTTTCTTGAATTTATTTTTGAATCATCATGTTAAAGAGTTAAAATGTTAATGGTAAAAATAATGACATATAAAATTATTCTGGAAAGTCATACTTAAAATTCCTGATACACATTTCATTAGTTTTTAATAGGTAAAAATCCTTACTTCTTCAGAAGCTATTATGAATCTGTTGAAACACACTACCTATGCGATGATTAAATAGCCACTCAAGATTTATTCCGTAATCATTACCCATTTCTTTCATGTAAGAAAAGTAAAAAGGAATTTTGCAGGTTGGCTGTTTCATTTTATACATAATTTTTTAGGCCTTTATAGGGTATAAAATTTAGGAAGGAAAATAATATTAGATTTTAAAAGTTCAAACTACAAATAATACTAAGCTAAGCCCTAACATGACTTTTAAAATCTAAGTTTCTAGAAGTTTTAATTTTTAGTCAATACAAAAATGATCCGTTTTATACTTTTAACTGCCCCAAAACTGCTTACAAAACTAAACAGCCTCTGTTGAGATTAGAAACACAATGGGAATCTAAATAAAAATTCACAAATGGCAGCTGAATCCTGTCAACTTTCAGCCCAATGCAACATAAATCCATAGTTATTCATAAATAATTTAAAATTAACGTTTATAATGGAAATGTCAACAAGTCATAACTACTATACATCTCTCCTGATGGGTTCCACTAACTTCAACCATGCACAGCAGATGTGCCTATCAGATAGACAAGACTGCTCAGAAAATTAAAGCTATCAGAGCTATAAATAAGGAATACATAAATGAGAACACAGCAATGTCAAAGCTTACTGGGGCCATTAACAAAAAACTGGGATTCAATGTAATATAACTGATAGTCCTCTCTTAAGCTACTTTGTGCTGATCTGTAAAGCTATGGTTTTTTAAGTCTTTTCAAAAATTTTCTTTTCAGCAACATTTTCTACACTGCAAGTAGTTATTTCAGTATACATCCTTGACTACAATGCAATCTTCCCTGCAGAACTTGACACATCTCATCAGGACTTCTGCAGAAAGTCAGCTTGTCGTATTTTCAGCAGCCTAGAACAAGACAGTAAGACTCATTATTGAAAAAGCCACAGTGAGAGACATACCATGGAGATAAATTTGTCAACACTACACTGTATTTAACAAACAGCTATTCCCCCATATGACTGAATTATTTTAATTGAAAAAGTATAATGAGACTTCATTTTGTTGTGTATCAAATGTTACAGAAAATTTGTAAGAAAAAAACAAAACCAGTAGTCATATCACCTTAATAAATAGCCCACATAAAAATATATTGCTTCTTGAAGAATTAACATATAATTTTGTTTTTCCAAGACCTTAGTTTATCTCCTATGTTTTATTGTAGTGCAAAATCAGAAAAACGAGGAAGACATTTGAAGCAACAAGGTAGCAACACCCGGAGCAAAACAGGAAGAGTAAGCATCTAACTCTTGTTTCACCTGTACCCCCAACTACTAAGCTCATTGGAGGACTCTAAAGATCAACAATTATTCGATATGCCTATCTAGAAAGACTTAAAAGAAAAAACACATGCCAGCTCTTAGGAGGCTGAGTCAGAAAAGAAGGGGCTTGAGGTCACATTCAGCTTGGGCTCCATAGGGAAGAGACCCTGTTTCAAGAAATCAGGAACAAGGGGCTGGAGAGATGGCTCAGCAGTTAAGAACACTGACTGTTCTTGCAGAAGACCCGGGTTCGAATCCCAGCACCCACATGGCAGCTATCAACTGTCCGTAACTCCAGTTCCAGGATATCCGACAGCCTCTTCTGACCTCCATGGGCACCGCACAATACAAGTGCACTTACCTACATGCAAGCAATACACGCATACACATAAAATAAAAATAAAAATAAAAAAGAAATCAGGAACAAAACAAAGACTTAATGCCAATATTAAAATGACTAATTTAATTAGAAATCTATGCTAGATTTTTAAATGCACTTATATTTCTACAATGAAATTTGCTTTTATTTTGGTTCTTTCATGAAAATCATGCAAAATAATGAGAAAATTATAAATAATGTAATCTGAAATAAAGTTAAACTTTTTCTTTGCAGCCAATAGTACTGACTTTACAGACATATTTAGTTAGCCTTCTTTCCTCTGGACTAGTCACACAAGAGAGTGAGAACATAGCTTTAAAAAAAAAAATCCCACTGTTCTAAGAAATTTTTGCTTTTTTCCCTTGTAGGCTTTTATGTTCACTTTATCTACATACCCATAATGCACTCTGTCATTTTCCTGCCCATTCTTAGTATTATATCAAAGAAGTCTTAAAATTACACAGTTTGGTTTCAAATCAAAATGACTTAATCGAAAAATGCTATTCATTTTGTACCAACTCACTTTTGTATCACTGCAGAGGTTCTCTACCAGACAGACAACGAAACAAGCATTTTCACTGTAAGTAATGTATCATCACTATAAAAATGTAGAACTTTCTATCTGGAAGGGTAACAATAACATTCTGGAGACTTGTATCAGATCACCACTAAACCCCCCAAAATTTGAAAGGAAAGCCCTGAGAAAAATCAACATTTGGTAGTCCTCTTCTCTTCCAAACTTCTCTTTTCAGTGAAAGTGATTATTTCCTTTCCTTGGGTGAGGGGATTGGGAGATGAAAATCATTTAGTTCTCTATTCCTTTCTAAGTTCAAATTCTGCTCCCCCAGCATCCTCAAGCTGCAGGCCTTTCACATCACAGATGAACTAGGGTATTAGTGACAGTACAGGACACCTAGAAGAAAAAGGTGAAGGTTCAGTCCCTAGAGTGTATCAATAATAGTATAATTCAAGCCACTTTGTTGCTAAACAGAAGATGCTAAAAGGTAGCTTTTGTCCACAACTTCTCAAATCGCAATATATGTTTTTACACATGAACACTAGCACTAGAAATATAATACAGAAATTCAGTATCAATAAAGACTCATTCATAAAATGCCGTCAATTAACAGTCCTGTTTTGTAGTCTTGCCATGTTTAACATAAGGTAGCCCATGTACTGCTGTGAAGGAGCTAATCAAACTGGAGCGACACATTGCTAGATACTTTTACTATAAAGGATTTAAACACTGTCATTTGAAAATTCAAGAAAAAGAAAGGTAAAACTAGGATGGCTTTGAATTCACATAAATCCACCTGTCTCTGCCTTCCAAGAGCTGGGATTAAAAGTGTGTGCCATCATGCCCAGCTCCCGGATTTATATTTTACACATTCTACAATGCGGACAGTAAGTACTATACAATTAAACTCTAAATGTTAGGAGGTCTATGTAAAAATAGTAGAATGCAGTAGAAACAGATTCTCTTTAGCCTTATTTTAATGCAAAAAGAAAATATGGTAAAAAAAAATTCACTAGCAGCAATGAAAGAAAGAGCAAGCAACATACTCAATGCTTGCCAAAGTCTGTAAAGAGCTAGTCAAGGAAGGTGAGTGGCTCAGCGCAGCTCTGGAAAACCAACTGTGCACCCCAGAGTAGCAGTTAAGCAAGAATAGACTCTACTTAAAGGAGAAGCAAGCTGGAAGATCTTTTTATATAGTTAAGTCAAATTAACCATGTTTTTAATTTCAAAATAGCACGGTATTATCTAACAGGATGGTTGCCAAATATCTTGGGTGATTATGAGTGACTACTTTTGTTGTTTCATTCTCTGAATCTTCTGTTTTAAGTATCTTAGTATCATAAGTGTGATTTTTATAAAAATTGTATAGACTATATAATTATGCTAAAAGAAATTTTTAAAAGTTCCAAGTGACATTTCTTCTTAGCTAGAAACTTTCCTCCCTAGTTCTACTGGCTTACTGGCTTAGCTAATGGGCAAATGTACCTTAAAGGATTTGTGTAAGAGAATCATTTTCCACCCAAATGGCCAACCATTTCTGATTTTGTCAATCTTAATTACTGATTCGGCCTTCCACCTCATCATAATCCATAACAAGAATGCTCAAAGTTGGAAAGTTACGTCTAACAGGGGTTTCTGAAGCTCCTATCCTAATGCATATACTAGGTTATATACTGTCTAAGAAAATGCTACGCCAAGAATAAAAGTCTGTTTCCTAGAGTTAGCTGCACACTCAAGTTCACTGTGGCCATATCCATAGTAGTCAAATTAGGAAATCAGCCTAGGTACTCATGAACAGATGTGACAAGTACATGCATACACCACATGCACACACACACACGTTTTACTCAGTTATAGAAAGAAGGAAATCATGTCATTTTCAAGAAAGTGGGATGGGACTGAAGATTATCAGATTAAGTGAAGTAAACCAGTTTCACAAAGACAAATTACCACATGCTTTCCCTCACAGGTGGAAGGTGGGGTGGAAAAAGGACAAGAAACTAACAGAGGGAGTACTAAGAATGAAGAAAGGGATGGGGGGAGGGAGTAGAAGGGAGAGCAGCAGAGGGGATGAGCTTGATATAGTACATAGTATGTTTTTATGGAAACATCACAATGAAGCACTGTACAAAAAAATACATGCTAACAAAGAAGAAAAACACACTACGCCAACTCTGCTTTGACCATAACCTGCCTCCGCTGGGTCTGTATATTCCCTTATAGATCTCATATTCTTGTACATTAGGAAAACCCATTTTGCCTATTCTCTTTCAAACTTGAACATAATGCAACATAAATTCTTATAGTTGTAGATATATTTTCAAAAATCTACTACAGGTGGCTAGGCATGGTGGTGCAAGCTTTTAATCTGAGTATTTGGGAGGTAGAGGTAGGTGGATCTCTGTGAGATAGAGGCCAGCCTGATATACACAAATCAGTTTCAGGACAGCTGAGGCATAGGGAGATCCTGTTTCAAAGAAAATTAAAAACAAAAAACACAACACCCAAAACCAAACAAATAAAAAAACTGACTAGACTTTAGGAAGACATTGGTCAAAGATTCTAGTTTCTTTTTATTTTTCAACAGAATTATCAGAGAACACTCCCCTGCATAACCCAAAGATTTTTCATTTCCCAAAACCACTGCATCCCTTTCTATACAGCTGGCTACATATCCTTTGTCAAGCACTTAACCATAAATTAGTTGGATTAAAGTTATAAGGTTCAATTTCCTCAGCAGCACGTAGTAGCAGTACCTGTCACCGTGTGACTATGGGTAATAATGCCAGTACAATCTGAGCCTATGGCTACTGTAGCACAAGGAAAGCACTCATTTAACTATTACTCATTCTTACTCTTCAGTTATTTTTCTTCCTGCTACAAAAGTCATAAATGTTTAGAAAGGAGGGATGATGAAGAAAAACAGGTAAGTGAGGTGAAAGCCTACCTACAAAAGACTCTGGACAAAACCCTGTGAAAATACATTCAGAAATGCAAGAAATGAGAACCCAGGCAGGCCCCTTGGTGACATAATGCTTGAAATTGAGAAGCTCCCAATAAAGAACACCAACAAACATAAAACAAAGGAAACTCACATGCCACTGGTGGAAATGCAAAACAGGACAACTATTTTGGGAACGTTTGGCATTATATTTATTAAGTTGAAGACACACATCACCTATTGCCCAGTAGTTTTACTTTTTACACAGACCTAATAGAGATGCACACACACAAGCATCAAGAGACATGGGCTACAGTATTGAAATCATTGTTAGAACGGCCTTATGCTGAAAACAACCCAGTATCAAGTCACAGTAGAAAGGATAAACAAATTGTGGTATATTTATACAATGAAACTTATTTCAGAGAAAAGGAACACATTACTACTAAAAACAACATAAGTGGACATCACAGACAATACTAAATGAAAGAATTCAGCAAAAATATTATTCTATGATTCCATTTTTATGCAGCTCAAAACTTTTACAAAATTAAAATGGTGTTTAGTGATCCTTGTCAACACTAGGTGTCTTCCACAGTTGCTTTCTACCTTATTTTTTGAGACCGGGTCTCTCATGGAACCTGGAGTTAAAAGTCTAGACTGACTGCTCACCAAACCTTAGGGAATCAACGGGTCTCCAGCTCCCCAGCTATGGTAATAGAGGCCTGTATGAGCCTTAGCTTTTCATGTCGATACTGGGATCAAACTTACGTTTTCATGCTTGCATGACAAGCATTTCACTGACTGAACCATCTTCCCAGCCCCTTGTGTGAATCTTTATAATAATAAATGTTTGCTCTGTAAATATATTTTCTTACTTTCTGTGTTAGGTTTAACAACTAAAGGGTATTAAAATGAAAAATGTCAAAAATTTGTAACTCTTTAGCAAACAACAATCTGAAAAATGAGCAACTTACATAATTTCATAGTCCCATATTTTCAGTGATAAGAACTATAGAAAGTAAGTCATTTTGTTGCTGGACAACTTTAATAGCTTGAACTTTTACTACTCATAGCTAATGCTATATAAACATGGAAATAAAATCAGCAGAGATTTAAAATCAGAATGTGAGCAAGAGAGGAAGCACGATACTTTCCCTGTTCTCATCTTAGCAACTAAAAGATGGTTAGTTTTAATTTGGAAAATTCTGGGCTCTTGGTGGCAACAGCAGCCTTGTGACCTCTGCATCACTCCTCACTTACTTTCCCCCTTTATTGAAAGCTAACTATGCTACAGCAAATAGTTTCTCAGTTTCCAGCTTGTAGAATTTCCATAATCTGACAGTTTGCCTTCATTTCCTCCTGTCTTCTGTGTCCAAGCTGGCAGGGTTTGTTCTGAAAGGGCTGACTGGGACTATCACATATATAATCTCTTCACAAAAGGTTAGCTAGCCACCTTCTTGATCTGTCTTTAAAGTATGCAGTCCAGACAGACAAGAATGTCCCAAATCAAGTGCTAGCTCCTTTTTTTAGTGGTTCCTCCTCAGCTCTATTCTTCTCAGACTTTGTTTTAAGTAGGGAAGAGAAACCAAGCCACACCTTCCACACTTACCTTGGACATTTCCTCAGCTAAATACTTGAGGTTATCACTTACATATTATATTTTCCATTCAATAATAGAACATAATTCAGTTCTGTCACTTTAACAAACAAGGACTTCTTTTTAAAAATATTTTATTTATTATTTTTATTTTATGTGTGTGTATTGCCTGCATATAGGTTAAGTGCATCCATGTCATGCAATGCCAGTGGAGGACAGAAGAGGCTATCTGATCCCTGGAACTGGAGTTACGGATAGTTGTTAGCTGCCATGTGGGTGCTGGGATTCGAACCCAGGTCTTCTGCAAGAACCACCAGTATTCTTAACCACTGAGCCATCTCTCTAGCCCCAGCAAGGACAATTTCTTTCAGTGTCCAATGCACATTCTGTGTCTGAGATTTCACTAGAAGTACTTTTTAACATTCTGCTTTCCAGCAACATTCTCCTCTTAATGATGTATGTATGTATTCTCTGAAATAAGTGACGCTTTCTCTACAGTTTACCTCTGCACATTCACCAAGCACCTTTAATGCTCACAGTTCTGCCAACAGCCTCTTAAAGGCAATCTAAGCCTTTCCTATTAAGCACTTTAGGATTTTCCAATCTCAGCTGGGCATGGTGCTGTATACCTTTAATCCCACCGCTCCAGAGGCAAAGGCAGGTGAGATAGAGGCCAGCCTCCAACATAGGGAGTTCCAGGACAGCTGGAGCTATAGGGAGACCCTGTCTAAAACAACAAAAAAAGACAAACAAAAACCTTTCTAATCTCTATCAACTATCCAATATCCAACACTTTAAAGTATTGTTGTAGTAGCACCCTCCTTCCTAGTACTAAAGCCTGGAGTTCCAGGGGTACCATTGTAAGGTGCCATTAAACTTGGTAGCTTAAACAGAAGAAATTCATTTTTTTCATGGTTCTAGAGGCCAGAAATCCCAAATCTAAGTGTTAGCTAAGCCTTGCCCTCCCTGAAGGCTGTGGGGGCAGGGTCCTTCTTTGCCTACTCCTAGCTTGGTGCCCTGTAGATTTCCATGTCTCTGCCTGTCACCAAATAGCTGCCTCTGCCTGTCTTCACATGGTGGTGCTTCTGTTTATCTCTATTCAAATTTTGCTTATCAGACACCAATCATAGGATTAGAAACTACCCTAATTCAGTCTGAACTCACCTTAATTTGATAACACATGCAAGACATAGTTTCCAAATATAATTTTATACACACACACACACACACACACACACACACAGCACCAGGGATTAGGACTTGAACTTACCTTTTTTGGGACAGATGTAATTCTACTCAAAATAGAAAAATTCTAAAAAAGAAATTCCTAAGAAAGGACAACATAGCTTGTCACAGTAATTTTTGTGATCTGAACACATGCTACAAAACTTCTAGTCTTCAGAATTTTTCCTGATGGCATTAGAAACTGGTTTAACTCTGTCTAAATAGGATCTTTCACATAGCTTTGTTAATCATTTCTTGATTAACAAAGTATTGTTAGTCAATACTTTTTTTGGGGGTGGGGGGTAAGTGAGGAGGACAGTATCTCATTATGTAGACCAGGCTGGCCATGACCTCACAGAGAAAGGTTTGTGCTACCATGCCCAGATTTTGTTAGTCATTTCTAAATACAGTACTTTTATTTGTAACAAACTAGTACAGATCTCTGACCTTTAGTGCTTCAGTAGCCTTTCGAAGTTCCTTAATAACAGATGACAAAGCTTCTGGGTTAATTCCTTGTTCACAAAGCCGTACACAAATAGACAGAGTTTCCATATCTAAACCAGTATTCAAAATTCTTGAAATCTCAAGCAGAACTGAAAAAGACATAAAGAAAACCTTTTAAAAAGCTTTTAAAACCTAAAACTATGCATGTAGCATTTCTGCTTTGAATTCATTTTTACTACACAGTTTCAAGGAATTAGCACATTTTAAAATGAACTTAGAAATCAGTGTGCAAACTGTCTTGCTTCTTGGTTTATTTATTTTTTACATTTATTTGTTTATTTATTTATTTATTTACTTGTGTGTATATGTGTATATGGGCACACAGGTGCCATGGTGCATCCATGGAGGGCAGAGGACAACTTGCAGAGTCGGTCCTCTCCTTCCACAGTGTGGGTCCTGAGGATCAAACTCAGGTCTTCAGGCTTGGTGGCATGCACCCTTATCCACTGAGCCACATCACCAATCCTGCTTCTCAGTTTAAAACTTAAACTTACAACCTTCTTTTATAGAACTGCATTTTAGATCTTGGAATATACCCTAGTACACATTTACTATCAAGATTGTTCTCAACATTTCCTTTTTAAAAAAGATACTTCTGATGCGACTTAATTAGCTGCATAACATACCTTTTCACAGACATACCATGACAGTGTATCTGTATGCAGTAAATTTTATTTCAAGACAAATTCTAAAAGAACTGCTTAGTCGAGGCCTTCACAGACAGCCTGAGAGTGGCTACTCTGGCCTCTGTCTGGCTTAGATGCTGGACAGCTCAGCAGACCACCTAAAAGTGCCTGGATCGGGCCTCCACACGTGGTGTAGATGAAATCCCACTCAAACTGGCCAACAGCTCACATAAAACAGATGACGCAGAGACCCAAAAGTTCAGTGCCTTGCCACAGCAGGAGGAAGACCATCCCACATCTACCACACCTCAGAGACTTTTGCAGAAGAGGATGGCAGAAAGAATGTAGGAGCCTGAGGAAGGGTGGTGTTAACTGGAAGTGTCTTCCAACCACTATACCCACAAGCTATAGTAATGCCTCCTTCCCACTCTCATCAAGGAGTCGAGGGGGAAGTCAGCTACCTCTCCCACCCAATCAGTCAACCTTAGGTGCTTGTGGGGGAGGGGGCAAAGGAAGCCGAAAACACCAAGAGGCACCTGTCTCACAATTTTGTGTGGCTGCTGGGAGGTCGGTCACAGGATCTGTATTTGAGTATGGGCTTTACAGGCATCCATAAATGTGGGGCACCCACTCTTCTGTAAAGAAACCACTATGCTAAGCTCTGTTTAAAACAAAACAAAACAAAAAACTGCTCAGTCTGTCATGGAAGAAGGAGTGGGAAGATTTTTAAGGAGTGGTAAGGGCCAGAGGCTGAGGACGACTGGGCCACACCAGTGCCTTCTGGACATGACAGGACCACTGTACTCATGAACTCACAGCAGCTGTGGTTGTCTGCATGAGATGAAGCATACCAGAATTTGGGCATGGAGTGGAAAAGGTTCTGGGCAAAGTAGTGTCAGTTTTCTTTAAGGGTGAGACTCCCTGGTATGTCCACCATCCACCAGTAAATAGCTCCATATGGGTATATGGGCAGCACAGATTTGATTTGGTGAGTCATTAAAATAAAAAAGGGGGAGATGATGTGAAGTTGGGTGGCATAAAAACAGGCACTAAGTTGATAGGGGCTGGTGAGATAGGGGGTTGTTTCAGCTTACATTATAGTACTTCACTGGAGAAAGCCAAGGTAGGAACTAGAGATAAGAACTGAAGCAGGGGCCATGGAGGAACATCGCTTACAGGCTTGCTCAGCTAGCTTTAAAAAAAATGTTTATTTATTATTTTTTATTATTTTTGTGTATGAGTATATTGCCTATATGTATGCAAATACACCTACCCAGGCTGTTCAATGACTGAGGGGGTCAGAAGAGGGCATTGGATTCCCTGGAACCGGAGCTAGGGAAAGTTGTTAGCTGCCATGTGGATGCTCTGAAAGAACAGCCATCTCTCCAGTCTAACAGCTAGCCTTCTCATACTGCTCAGGCCTACCTGCTTAGGGATGACACCACCACAGAGGGGCTGGGCTCCCCCTGTATCAATTAGCAATGAAGAAAATACCTCATAGACATGCCAATCCAATGGAGGCAATCTCTCAATTGAAGTTCCCTCTTCCAAGTGACTCTAGTTTGTGTCAAGTTGACAAAAAACTAACCAACAAAGGGGTGGATCTGGGAGGAGTTAGGATAAGACATGGGAATGAATATAACCAAAATACATTGTGTGAAATTCTTAAGAACTGACAAAAATATTTTGTATTTTAGAGAAACTAGTCAGTAAGCAATATAAATATCTAAAGCCTTAGAAGCTTTT